AATCATTGAGAGACATAACCTTCAATCAATTCAACGGAAGGAGTCACAATATGAAAAATGCTTGCATTTTGCTTTTGATGATAAGATGAATTGAAGACGGGGAATTTTTGGATGCAGTGATAGTGTAGGGATTTTGTTTATTTATGGGTATTTGTAATCATCATCGGTCCTCTGTTATTTGAGTTTCTAAATTTAAAATTTAGTTTGAAATGAAATTAAAATTTTGGGACTGTGAATTTTGTACAGGGAAGGGAGGAAATGAATGGGAATTAGGAAAGAAAGAAGAAGGTAAGGGTAAATTTCGTGAATTTAAAGTCAAATGAAGGGTAATTAGGAAATAAAACAATTTATTTGGTTTTGGGTGGAACCTACTAGCCATGTCATTAAAGCAAGGCCCAAAAAAAAGTGCCACGTCGGTATAAATAGTTGCCATCTCATAAAAAATAACGCCATGTAAGTGAAAAGGAAACGAAAGCTAACGGACATGTGAGAGTCACGTGATCACAGTTAAATTTTGGTTTTTTCATTTTTTTTGAAAATTGCAGGATGGTAATGTAAAGGAAAAATATCCGAGGATGTTAATCGTGAAAATAAATAATATGGAGAGTATCAATAAAGGGTTTGATTTAAAAAAGGTTAAATTTTTAATTTGATTCTTAAATTATTGTACAGATTTTTAATTTGGTCCCTCAACTAAAAAAATTTTTGATTTGATCTCTAAACTATTGTATGGACCTCAATTTGGGACTCCAATTTGGTACTACTGTTTACTAATTTGTCTCAAATTGGTCATTCTAAACAAAAAATAGCTAATGTATTTGTTATTTAATGGTAAAAAATAGTAATTTAATAACGAAAAATAATAATTTAATGATCACGTGTTACGTTAATAATAAAACATGTTAATTGGTTTTTGTACAAAATGACAAACTTTGGGTAAATTGATAAACAATATGGACTAAATTTAGTTTAAAGACCAAATTAGAGACTTTTTTAGTTTATGAACTAAATTAAGGATCCATATAATAGTTTAGGGACCAAATTGAAAATTTAACTTTAAAAAAATAATACTTTTACTCTTAGTACTTTATGCGACAAAAAAAATATAAAAATTAAGACATTTTAATACTTTAAATGTGAATAGTTAAAATTTTTTGTAAAATCATTTAGATCTCACTAATAATTTTTTTTATACGTTGATTTATTAAAATTAATTTAATTTTATTATTATTTTTTAATATTTTAAATGTTAAGAATTCTTATTTTTTTTCAATCCTAATCCTCTCTCTAAAGTTGGATAAAAACCTCTTTTTTTTCTTCTTCTTTTTTTCTTTTTTTGTTTTCCTTCGGTGGATGAGCGGGATAGGGAATTCGGGGTAGTTTAGGTAAGGTCAAATGGTAATTTTGATCTTTAATTTTAAGGTTTTGTATAATATTTATTTTTTAATTTTCTTTATATACTTTTTAATCCTTTAACTATAAAATATATTTTTTTAATCTTTCTGTTGTTTAATTGGTTAAGTTTTTTTAAATATGTATATTTTTAATCTTTTAACTTTAATATATGTATATTTTTTATTTTTTAACTTTTAGTTTAGGGAATTAAAAAATATATATTTA